CACCCCCTTGTCTGTCTTACCTCTTGCCTGTCTTGCTGTGAGGGGATTTCCTGTGGTTTCTGGGCAGTTTCCTGTACCGCGTTGTGTAGCGCTTAAATTTACACTAGTCGATGTTGTGCACTGTATCAAGCTTTGGGGACCTTTGGTGTTAAGAGAAAGTATAGTTGACACGTTGAAGTCTCCAAGTACGTGAACTTTGCTGGGGTTAAAGCTTTAGTACTGCTTCATGATAAAAATACTGTCACCTATTTGCATCATTGGCATCTGTGCATTTCGGTTATGACCGCACGCTCTATCAGGTGATGTAATGGGTTTTAAATGGCTAAAAAATTGATTTGTGCATTTGGCATTTGTATGCTCTGCTTTGCAATGTAACTGCTTCTCTCTTTGCAGGTGAGAATACCAGATGATTTTTTTTTTCCAGTTTTGCACCGGGGCACCTCTGGTGCATAGGTGTTACTCAGTGACTAAACTTGCCCCAAAAATCTACAGCAAACTTAAATTCAGCTTTCAGAGCACCTCAGTAACTTGAAGTATCTTGGATGCCCCGAGTAGTCTTAGGTGCTTATGTCAAAGCTTTTTGCAAAGTCGGACTGAGGTTGGCCTATGAGAAACAAAATGTGAGAGTGCATGTTGGTCGGCAGGGCTAACAGTCCCGTTAGCAGGTAGAGGTATGCGTAGCAGATCTGTTTTTAATGGGGGTGCTGTAAGGCCATGTTGGTATGGGGTTCACAGCCGCTATTTTCACAGCGCTGCCTTAAAAGCAGATGCTGGTTTGAAGAAAGCAGTGCTGCTTGTCTAAACCAGCCTTGATAGTCAGATTTTTACACAGTGGGAAATAGTGTGGGCAGTGGGAAAAGGAACGACGGTATGTCCCGTGGAATGCATCGTCTGTACGCTTAAAATAAAGTGGAGTAACAATATTTTAAAAGTAGGAAGCTATTTTTGCTCCTGGTTTTGGGAATGCTGAGCTCTTGAGCTTGCGGGCAAGATCTGTCAACTGCTCTTGAGGATGGAGCTGTGTCAGAGCCCTGTGTTGGTGACGGAGGCTCGTGGAATATGCTTTGCTAAAAATATCCACGCACGTGTGTACAGACACAAGAGCATATATGTAAAGATATAAAAATCTAAATACGTACATATGTGGTGAGTGTCATTGAATACCGGCTTTGTTCAACAGGCGCGCCGCTTTACAGCGCTTTCCGGGCAAGGAGCGTGCGGAGGTGTTAGGCCTGGGGTTGGCAGCCCTGCAGCCGGGGTGCTGGGGCAGTTGGTGCGCGGCACCTTCGCGGTAGCTGGGACGCTGCCGCCGGGCTGGGGGCTAGCAGCGACTGGGGGAATGAGGCAAGGACGTGGGCGTCAGTACGGCGGGGGCAGCGTGCTGGGATGATGAAAACCGGATTACGTTGAACCCGCGCTGTGGAAGCCCAGTATGCGACAGGAGGTATAGATGAGCTGTCACGCGGGAATTCTTGTCCCATTGCTGGGAAACTGATGCCTTGCTAACGGGATGTCCCATTGTCTTCTCGTGGAGGGGTGCGTCAGGAATGGGAGGGCAGAATTGTGGCCGATGGCTTCCTTGCCTTGGGGAGGTTTTGACAAAAAACTGAGCGCTTGAACGAAAATTCTTCACAAGGCTTGAAAACTGCATTATAACTTTCTCTAAATATGTATTTTCCTCAACAACCACACCGTGTTTGGAGTCTGGTTAAAAATTTTCAAATGTTTAAGTTTCTGTGTGTTTCGCTGTCACACATAGATATGAGTTAGCTTGAAGAACTAAGTGGTGTTCTCTACCCAAAACTAAAGTGTTTCTTGTGTATGCTTTCAGTCTACGGCTCCCAGAAAGTTCCTGCGATAGAGCGTCTGTATTGACTAACAGAAGGTGGTGCCTCTGTGGAGGACGGACTGAATGTGTCGTGGCAAGTGGGGAGTTTGTGTTGATTTGAACAAGTAACCTGTAATTGTCTTAATAGGATGCTAATAAATCTACTTACGGGCGTTGTAGGATACAAAACAAGAGAAGAAACTGAGCCGCAGAGTAGAAGAAGGGGCTGGGTGACAGACAACAGCATATCGGGAGCACACAAGCGCTCTCACCTCCGTGAATGTGCTGTGTTTGTTATGTACTGTCTGAAGATGTGATCAAAAGTGAGCCACAAGGCGTAAGCTCTTGACACGGGTTCATCCACACCTGCAGCACAAAGGAGTTGTTTACTCAAAAAATTCGTTGTCAAATAACATGTGGATGCGGTGCTTAACGCTTATTGAGAAAGGGCCTTTCCAGTGCTCCGTATGGAAGTGCATGTGGGTATGCAGAGCTGGTTTTCTGTTAAGTCATGCTTTTCATGAGGGAGGAGCACTACTTCTTCCCTGATTTTCTTCATAAGTGTTCTGGTTTTTCTGGAGACACTGGCTTTTTCGGTGTCTCGGCAGCTCATAAAGCTGTAGAGGTCAGAGTTCTGTTTTCCTTTGCTGGCAAAGAGCGTTCGCTTGGAAGGTTTAATGAAGCCTTACTGCTGTCCTTCATTACGGACGGGCGAGAAGGTTTTTATGTCTTCACATTGCTTGGAGCCTGTCTGCAGGCCGTTCGTGCTATTACTTGGAGAGGGACTGGTCTTAATCTCTCTTTTGAGTGGATTCGTAGTCCATGACTTCTGGTTCTAGAATTAAGGGAAAACAGACGTGCAAAGTGATCCAGGCTTGAGGTGATGCAGAATAAGATAGGCCAAGTTTCACAGCAGCAGGTTTTTACTGTGTGGTGTTTAGTTGCTGGCTAGGTTTAAACCAGGACAGTCACTAGGCCGTTTCTGTGAATTTTTAAACAAAGGTGGTGTAAATTTTGGGTCTTCGCATAAATAAGACCACGCAAAGTTAGGCTGCTTTTTGATGGAAAGGCCTTGCAGTTGGCAAAGCTGTGGGTGGTTACGCAGCAGGTGAGGAAATGGGCTAGTGAACTAGGGCCTGTGTGCCATCGTGGGCCCAGCTGCGGCGTGTCGTGGTGTTCCTTGTCGCTGGGAAGATGGCGGTACTTGCGGCGTGCTGCGCGGCACTCGTGACCTGACTAGATCCGGAGTTTAAGGAGGCAACCGGAGTGGTCATGATGAGCGGGAAAGCATGGAAGCCTGTAGAGAAGATGGTGGCCTAACACCTGCAACTCGCTTGCCCTGTATGTACTCACCTCCTTCCTCCGCATGCCACATAGCAATGTTTAATAAGAGTTTTCATGAACATTGACAGCGCTGATTATTGCTTGCTTCGGTGCTCTCAGTGAGAAGCCTAGCTTCAGAAACGACTGAAAATGTTTAATAGTTCAGGGTTTTCTGGATAAAGATGCCCAGAACATTGGCAACTATTAATTTTCCTGTAAATATTAATAACTTAGGTTTTGTTCAGAGTTATGCCACTTGGGTCTTCAGTGAAAGGACTTTTATAGTGGTGATATTTAATAATGGAAGCCCATTTAAGGTCACACAGCTACTTCTTTGCAAAATGGGCAACGGGTTTGCTTTTATGGCCCTTTCAGGGTTCAAGTATTGGTTAACATTGCCACCTAATGGCGAGAAGAGCAGTTGTCCGAGTGTGTTGATTTTTTTTTTCACTCTTTTGAAGTGATTGTTTTCATCCAGTCATGTCTGCTCTGGTTATATGAAAACGATTGTCAGGGAAACTTGAGATCTGGCCTTTTTTGTTCTTGTTCTCCTGCTACTTAGAGAATTTTAAAGCTACAAAACTGGTTAAAAAGGAAAGAAGTCATTTTTGTCTTCTAATTTTTAGGCTGTGGTGCTTGACCTGAGTTTTGCTTCATATTTTTGACCAAGTATTGGTGCTTAGATAAAAAACCAAACCTCTCTTTATTGAGAGGATAGTAGGAAAAAGTCTTTCCCTGACGAAGGTCGGCACATTTCTCTTGGCATAATTCCCCAGGCTGGTATTAGGAAAGCCTCAGCTGGAGCTGGGCATTAGAACTTGAGTAACTTAGGAGCAGGTGTCCTGCTAATGTTTTGGGAAGGCCTGAGGTCAACTAGGTTAAGTATAATAATTATGCAGAACTTGGGCTGTTGTATTAAAATTGTCAGTACTTCTGTTTTGACAGCGTACCATCTCATTTGGCTAAATAAGCAATTAAGTTAGAAGCAGGATATCTAATCTTAAAGAAAATTTCCTATTAAAACTTCTTGAATTGTAAATTGTTATACGCGCATTTGTTGAAGCACGCGAGACGTGGATCAAATGAGATGCAGCATACTTAAAAAACACTGCTTGCAGTTTATATCATGAGACATGAAACGTGTGTATTGGACTCGGATGCCTGATTATCAGATTACTTAATGAATGGTTTTCATCTACATGTATCGGTCCCGAATGAGTACCTGAGTTCTTGTGCTAGTTGAAAGTTCCCATGGTAATAGTTGGCTTGCCATCAGACAGCAGTGAATTAAGGAGAGTATGGTTCGACGTGAGCTCTTCTATGAGGCAGATTTCCTAAAACGGTGGGAAAGCTGAGTACGTGAGCCTTGAGATGACGCTAATATGATCTGCCTGACTCCTTGAGCAGCAGTTAAGGCTTACAGAAGACAGATAAAACAGGAGAGTGTTGTTTTTCCTTTCGTTGGCCTGAGCATAGCAAATGTTTATAACTGTTTTTTAAGCGTTGATTAGTTGTCACTCAATGAATGATGTAGATTTTCCAATTAATTTTTTTTGGTGTGTAGTGCTGTTGTCTAGAGGTATAACAAAAATTCAGTAGCTTCATTTGCTCGTAATTGTGTTTCTTTCCAGGTGGCTTCTCAACTGTGTTTCTGGTACGTACCCACGGTGGGATACGTTGTGCACTGAAACGAATGTATGTTAATAATGTGCCGGATCTCAACATCTGCAAGAGAGAAATTACAATTATGGTAAGAAGCCCATCATCTATAACTGGAGAATGTATTAATTGGTAGTATATCTATACCAAGTGCCTCTTCGATTGCTTCTAGACCACCTTTTCTTTTCACCTTGAGGTCCTGATTTTGCACCGTTAGTTTCAGAAACTAATGCTGTCTTGAGGGCTGGTTTGCGATCAACTTAACGCCGTTATAAAAAAATGTATGTGATACCGCAGTCCATTTGATCAGTACATCCACTTCCCAATTGAGAGGAATTTCTTGCAGTTCTGCACTGGCAAGTTAAATTCTCAAGGTCTCTGGGTGCCACAGCTCTGTTAGCTGAAGGCTGCTGCTGGTGGCTTACGTCTTGGGTAGGCGTTAGGTTGCGGTCCAGTGTTGAGCTGACCGACGCCAGCGCAGCTAACTTGCTTATGTCATCAGAGTTTCTGTTGGTTTGCAGCAGAGGACTAGCGAATAAATAGAAACTAGAAGGTTTAGTCAAGCACACTTGGGTTTATGATGGTTTGACAGGTAAAAAAAAAAAAGAAAAAAAAAGATGCTGACTGAGCAAGAGAAAATCTGTTATATTGCCTTCCAGCTGATATTATGAAGATTATTTATCTCCATCTCCATACTCTTGTAGCTTACATGGGTTCTAATCATAGCAGCACTTACTAATTATCGGATATAAGAGGTACTTTTATGTTAACCTTAAGCTATATCATAGGCGGAAACTCCATAATACAGACAAGAATGCTTATATGGTCAGGTGTGAAATAAGCATTGCTGAATTCCTCAGGTAAAATGGCTCTTAAGTTGTGGTTTGGTTTTTTTGGGGTTTTTTTGGCCACCTTCAGTTGCTTATGTGTAATAGCTTTGTAGTGGTGAGACTACAACAGTTGTGGCTTTTTTCCAGCTACTTTTTTTAGTAACTGAGAGACTACTTTTCAATTTAGCTAGAGAAGGGCACGAGTAGCTTGATGTTTCCATTTCTCCTACATATCAAGGCTCTACCTATTACTACTTGACAGCATTGGTTTAGAATGCAACAATTGGGATGCGTTTGCCCTGTCCAACAAGTAGCACGTAAATGTTCTCTCCTGAGTAGGAACTGCATTGTGTTGCAGTCAGTCTGACATCGCTGGCAGCGACGAGCTTATTTTCTGCGTTTGTGGTACTGTCTCGAGGGCAGTGGATGTGGGGCGGGGGCTCGCTTAAGTTGAAATCATAAACAGTTGTCTGAAAACTTCTACTATCTTTTGTTTAAATTAGTCTGTGCTGAAGTGTAATGTGCATTTTTATTTTTCAGAAAGAGTTATCTGGGCACAAGAACATTGTGACCTATTTGGATTGTGCAGTTAACTCGATAAGCGATAATGTTTGGGAGGTACTCATTCTCATGGAGTACTGTCGAGGTAAGAGTCAACTCATAGGTTTTCATAGTAAATGCAGGGAAAATGTTTGTATTTATCACCTGGGACTTTTACTTAGAATTGTTCCCTTAATATGAAAGGTTAATATATATATCTCACAACTGGAATCCAGTTTGTTCTTTTTGCTTTTCTGTTTGTGTCGTTTTTTAGGCAGTGAGCTTTTGAACACTGTGAAAATGTAAAAGTCAGTTTCACGCGGCTTTGTAATTAAGTATGATTACAAACAGGGAAATTATTTGTATAAGTAGCAAGTCAAATTGTTCTGTTTGTGCTAATCAACGTGGGGCTAGAACATAATTTGACAGGAAAGATTGGCAAGCTTTTCACTGCTCATTTCTTAGTATTTTTTTTAGATAGCAATATTAAAGATGTTTTGTTACAGGTGACTTGTTATAAATGAGCATAGTACACTTAGCATCGATAATGCTGCACAAAACAATAATAGCCCTGTAGTCCTGCCTTATAGTGTAATTTTGTTTCTCACAATATGTAAAAACAGGCAGTTTGTAGATTATTTTTCCCCCATCTCACATAAGCTTTGGCGTAAACTTGCCATTGACTTTAACTGCTGAAGCTTATCTAAAATTTAAGGTAACTAAGCACTGACTTGATAGCACGAGATGGCGGTTAACACAAATAAGCGAGGGTATTAGAACGAGTGCTACGAGTACAAAGTATCTCTAGACCAGAAAAAAACCCCCACCCCTTTGTTGGTAATGCCGGAAGAAAACTTTCAGTTGAGGTTTCGGTTGGTTTTCATCGCAGTAGAAGTGGCAAACGCTACAGCTTGTGCAGTTTGTACCATCAGGAGCCCAAGACAGTCTCGACGACTGTTTTGGCGAAGGGAATAAGGAGATAAGTTGAACGCTGATGGGCATGCTTTTGCCCTCTACCCTGCTTCATCTTTTTTATCTAGGATGATACGAGAGTGTGCGTTCGGAAAACGAGATTGGTTTTATTTTAATACACTTAATGTTGAAAAGGTGATTGCATCTTATCTGTGTGCTTGTTGCTTATAAGTAAGTCTTTACTAATGTAGCTGATGGAAAATATTTTAAAAATTCCCTTGTTTCCTTAGCTGGGCAAGTTGTGAATCAGATGAATCAGCGTCTGCAGACAGGCTTTACTGAATCAGAAGTAATGCGAATATTTTGTGATACATGTGAAGCTGTTGCCCGGTTGCATCAGTGCAAAACACCTGTAGTTCACCGGGATCTAAAGGTATGACCTTGATCAAAAGGAATGTCAAGGTTAAAATCAACCATCTACTTAGAAAGGACTGAGAATGTAGGAGATCTTTCACTAAGACTGACGTTTAGTTAGGGAAGCACTTGGTGGTGGTGGAGCTGTAAACGGAGAGACTAAGCCGTAAGATATGACTTATTGCTAATGCCGAGTCTGTCGGTTGATTTTTCTGCCAACTTTACTGTTAATGTGTGAGAATACGTAGTAACAGTTAACTTGGAAATGAATGCTGGTTTTTTTTTTTTCATCTAATGTTTCTGTGTGTCGATTTCCTTTCAAGGTGGAGAATATATTGTTAAACGATAGCGGGAACTATGTTCTCTGTGATTTCGGCAGTGCCACTAACAAATACCTTAATCCTCAAAAAGATGGTGTTAATGTGGTTGAAGAAGAAATTAAAAAGTAAGTTCACTCTTCAGTGGCCTGTCATGAGCAATGGTTGTGCTGCTAGGAAACTCCGTGTATTATTGTGCACTGTGCGTGTGTCTTGTGAATACAAACTCAACGGATGGTCGAACTTGAACTAAAGTTGACATAAATACAGGAAAACAGTGGAACTATTTTGTAGCGTGCATTTCTTCGATTGATTCACAGATGGTTTTAGTAACATTGAGACTCGTAAGAATATATCTGTTGGGAAGAAGCCTGCTGGTTTGCCATTAAATTGTTGAAAAATATATGCCTGGCTACTGGCCGTTTTAGGAGTTTGATATTTCAAATTCGTGCTATTTCAATACAGCTAACAGTATGAGACCAAGAGAACTGATAAATCCATTCTAATGCTTATTTTTGTATAGAGTCCTCTTTATAGAGTAAGGTCCATGTTCATTCTCATAAGGCTGATCAGAAAAATATTTGAACTTTGATTACAGGCAACACTCTCGAAAACATGTGTTAGTTTGGTTTTGACCCTTCAGGCTAACTACGGCAGAGGAAAAAAAACCAGGCTACTTGTTCTTCAAGAGCAAAGTGATACGGGTTTTTTTTTTTCCAGCTCTGAAAAAAACTTTGACCACCACTTCAGTAATTATTTAAAGGTGTTAGTTTTCCGAAGTCTGCATTCTGTGTTTTCAGTGCACGATAGGGAATACTTTTGTGGGATACTGACACGACCTTTTTGAGATTACTGGTTATTGTAGTATTTAAGCCAAGGGACTCTTGCAGAACTGTATGTGCTGGGGAAATAAAAGCAAATTTTAGCTGACGTAGTATTTATTCTTGTGTATGGTGGTTTTGTGTTGCTACTCCAAATATTCTGTGTGATTCTGCAGACGGAGTAAATGACTTGCGTTGCCTAAGGCAATTCCAGGCGGTACCTGAAAATGGGGCATGAAGGCTGTGTGTGTGGCAGAGGCAGGAGAAGATGCTTTCAGTTCTGATGCACGCTTTTCACCTATGTCCTTTTCTAATTATGTATTGCTAGGTATACAACGCTGTCATACAGAGCTCCCGAAATGATCAATCTTTATGGAGGAAAACCAATTACTACCAAGGCAGATATCTGGGTAAGCAACAAGTCAGGTACTATGAAGTAGGTAACTAATTAAGAGCTGTGTGCAGGCAGTTAAAAGCAGCATTGACTAACTGAAAAAACTGATTATTTAAAAGTGAAATATATCATGCAGCTATACAATGCAGAAGACAGTAGGAGTATCTTTGGTAGTTATGTTTTCTGTAAATAAAGTGAGTGCCGTGTGTGGTGATCATTTTGAGTTAAGGGGGGCGTGATTTAGAATTTGTTTCCTGTTTGTCAGCTCAGTTGCTGTGCGGTAGTCGGCAAGGATTTCTCGTGGAAACTTGTCAGCGGAGTTATGAGGAAAGGTGGTTTTATTAGGTGATGTGCAGCGAGGTAAATAAAGACTAAATTCAGCGGAAACGCTAGTGGTATCTCTGGGTGATACGAGGAAGTAAATGCAGCCCTTGGTCTGCTCTAAGTTTGGTAGGTGGTTGCCTAACGCAGGAGTCGGCGTGTAAGAAAGCCTTTTTAGAGCCGCTTTACGTGTCGGCTTGTCACACCAACAGTGTGTCGCGTAATGCGGCTTCTACGTAGCGGTGTAAGTGTCAGCTGTAGCTAGGATGCGATTTGTTTCTTGTTGGTGCCGCTTGGTTGCGGAAAGGCTTACTCTCATCCCTTTACAGCGCTTGTATTTGGTTTTTACAGGCACTTGGCTGCTTGCTGTATAAACTTTGTTTCTTTTCACTTCCCTTTGGAGAAAGTCAAGTTGCTATTTGCGATGGAAGCTTTACCATTCCGGACAATTCCCGATACTCTCATAGTATGCACTGTTTGATAAGTAAGTATCCGGGCGGCACGGCAATTCCCTTCCCTCGTAAATCAAATCAAACACAGAAGATGCCGCTAACGTAGGCGAGTGACTTGGATGGGTGGTGCAGACCGGCTGGGTTCTTAGTGAAAAGTTGGAAAAGAGGTTTTTTTTTTTTTGCTCTGAAGCGTGTATTTTAGATGGAATGTCAGGCCGTTAATAGTATTTTCTATCCAGGTTGGACAGATGTGCTTAGATGAATTGGAACGGCAAGTTTAGCGTAGAAACATAAGCGTACTGAGATGAATTGCACCGGGGACAACTTCATAGTAGCTTTGTGGTTTGTAACAGAACAAAAACCCGATCAAGTTTGTGCAACGAAAAGTGTCAGACGTGAGCTCTGGAAAAAGATTGAAAGCACAGAACGTGAAGGAAAATTTTGGACAATAAAAAGCTCTGAGGCTAGTGATTAATCTGTTGTCCAGGTACAGAGATTCAGGATCTAATATTTACAGTAATAATGAGTATTTTCAGTTGTCTTTGTTTTCAGCTGTGGGCAGACTCACCAGAAAGAGCATGACTGGCAGAATATGGAAAAAATCAGGAAGTTTGAATAGGAGCTCTTTGAATTTATTGTGAAGTTATGAATGCCTCGAACACATAGTTTGTGTAATAGGAAATAGCAAAGCCAAACCACTTGTTTGAGCACACATTCATAGCTGAGAAATAGCTGTTACCACGGGAAGCGTTTGCCTTCTGCAGTTAGCTAATAATTGACAAAATGAGATTAATTTTCAAGTGCTTAAATACTTTTCTCTGTGTCACTGTGCTACTTGTAGAGGAGTACAGGTTTTTATCCTGGCTCCTTGTAAGTATGAATGCTGATTTATTAAGATTTAGTCAACTCCTGTGCCAAGATGAGTATTACTGGCACAGAATACATGTGCGTGGGGAAGAATTTCCTAATGTAAACTTCCCTTCGTTCTGGAATGGAAGCCAGAAAAAGCTGCAGTTGGTCATAAAAGGTATTTCGGGGACCTTCTGGTTTCGTCTCAGCTGTTCTACGAAGCGGGGGCTGGGGAGCAATAAGCTGAATATTCTCCACCTTATAAATCTAATAGTTCAGAATGAAGTGGCAGGAGTCACTTCATGACAAGCGTTCCGTTTGCACTTAACAGTGCTGTCACTGTTAGTTTAAATCTGCTTTATTTTGTAGAATGCATTAAAAATAAAACTTGTTGTGAAGTATGTTGGGCATGAAATAATGACTTTGAGTATAACTGCAAGATCTGTCTAAAATGATATTATTTTAAATAAAAAAATTACCCGAAGTTGGTTTTTTTTTTTTTTACATTATATTGTTTAAGGTGTGCTGTGCTACTAAGCAATTTGGGAAATGTAGCTCAATTTTCTCATCAAAACAGAGAACTTAAATTGCTGTAGGTTGTTCATTTTCTTGGTGGCTGAATATATTTTTAGAGGCTTAGCTTGCTTAGAAGATTGCTTTCACTGTTTATTTAGGTTCTTGTATCACTTGGGTGAGACTTCCTGATTATGTACTCTGGATCCTGTTGTAAACAATATAAAGTAACTTTTATTTGCTTGAAAAGCACCACACTTACTAATGTGGGAAGCTAATGGTTGAGAGGGCCATGAGAAACTTTGTGCCTTGTCAGAAAAAGTCCTTTTATTCCTGGAACTACCTTTTTTTTGTTAATATACAGAAGTGTGCATAGCTAACTAAACCTGCAAGACAGAAGCTGGTGCAGAGCCTTAGTCCGGTGCAGTTAGATCAGTGAATCTTCTGTTAGCGACATGGATATTTTTTTGGTTGAATGCTAGAAAATTCTAGTACTATAAGTTGAGTTTATGTTGTTTCTCTCTCAAGTGATTAATTAGTACTTCAGTTTTGCTACCCATTCCACAACTGAGTGTCAAAATACCAAACAGCATACATAATCTCCAATTACATTTGACCCTAGAAACTATTTGACTTGACAAAAAGTATTGAAAACCAACATGACAATCAAGATGACTCTCTCTAGGGTAAGCTCATTTGGCAGAGCTGCTGAATTTATTCTTGCTGGCAGCATTTTGTCTCCACAGGCTGTTTGATATCCAACGCTATTAACTTGGTGTTATCGATTTGTGTAGGATACATGCTTGAACCGGATCAAGAACAGAGACCCGATATCTTTCAAGTATCTTACTTTGCCTTTAAACTTGCCAAAAAGGATTGTCCGGTGTCTAATATCAATGTAAGTAGTCTTTAATTTTTTTCTGTGTTTTCAGTGTGTTTTGTAGGTAGCATTGAGAACAGTCTATCAGATCAGCTGGGAAGCGTTATTTCAATTTCTTCATAAACCTTGTTCCTAACTTGAAAAGGCTGAGCAGAGTAGACTTCAAGTTGCTATTGCATACATGCAGTATTAGCTCTCCGAAGAAAATATTTTTTTAATTTTGAGGGCATAGCTTCATGAATGGTATTTATATGTGAATTACGTTCATGAATTGTATTACACAGTATCTGACGTGGGGGTTTAACCATGACTAATCTCTTGCGTCTGATACAATACATGTGAAATATGCTACAGACCTTAAACTTGTTGACAATAGAAGGTTTAATGTTGTAAAATTCGTGTGAATAGCATTTCTGTTGGTTCTGGATAAACCCTTTTTCTTCATCATCCTTAGCCATTACTTCAATCAGTCAGACTACAGAGCACTGGAAGGCAACCAGACCCAGTGCCTTGGTTAGCCTGCGTTGCTACCCTAACTTGACATGTGAGTTTGAACTTTGTTTGAAAGTCTGAACTTTCTCTCAAAGATCATCTCATTCACAGATCGAATGACTGTGCAATGGAATTTGAGGGCACATCAATAATGTGCAGTAGTATAAAATGATTCTAAAGATAGGCACTGGGAAAAATATGTCTGAAAAATTCATTTTGGAACGCATGCCAGGTATATTCAACTCTGCCTTCAGAGGCAGACAGGTGAACTGACTGACATGCCTTGGAATTCCTTTATCATGGATTCTTGTAAAAGGAGGTGCTCAGTAAATGTGGGTGTTGCTTTTTTGGATACTTAGGTTAGAAGAAGTCAGAAATCTTTCAAGTACTTACTGTTTGCAGGTAAATGCTAAATTTCAAGTGGCTTGCATTGAATTGTTGTAGTGTGTGATTAGGCAGTGCAATAACTATACTTCTCCTTGTGTACTTGATTCTAAAATATGAGCAAGTATATGAATTTATAAGATAATTTGGGAATTTACTACGTTACTCACTGGAGGAATAGTATTGGTTCACTCGGGCAACTTGAGAATAGGTCTCCCCTGGATATTCCCCCCTGCGATGGGAACTGCCTGCTTGGTTGGCCCTTTGCCTTGTGACAGACATGGAAAAGTGCCTGGAGTATTCGTACAAAGCAAAGCTGTTTGGCGTGTGTGTTCTCCACTGGAGTGTTAAAAGAGCATGAAGAGCGTGCCCTGGTTGCTGTTGATTTTCTCTGGTAGCACTTGGCCTTCTAGCACCCACGCCTGCCTTGAAAGAGAAACAGCACAAAAATGTGCACGTGGACACCCCGACCCTCCCTCTCAAAGTTTTGTGGGAATTTAAGAATGACCGTCGTACGTTAGAAGAGACGCCGGCTGAGCGCAGTATACTGCCTTTGGCAGCAGCTTACTGTTTGAAGGCAAAGTCAGAAATGTGCTTGTCTGTCTCTGTTCTAGACAGTTGACAAATTCCAGTGGTGATGGTAGTCTTCAGAAGCAGTATTTGGTAATAGATAGCTCTGTGTCTAGTATTTGTTACAATTCAGACTGGTGTTCTTTACCTAAGGAGGTAGCGCATGTGTAATGACAGATAATGTTTCTCCTCCCTCTCCCAAAATTACCTTTTTCCTTGGTCACATGCGGTCTGGGTGAAAGAAAATTTATTCAGGAATTGAGATGAGCATAAGTTCATGGACCGCAGAAGTTGAGATGCTGCATGGTTTTCTGGAATTGATGTTGCGGTGGAAGAGCTGAGTGGTCTAAAAAACTACTCTTGTTTCATCCAAAGGTTAGGCTTTGGTTTAGTGCTTAAAGGAAGTTTCTCTTCTGTGCGGTAAGAAGAAAACAAGTGGAGAAAGTGTTTTAATTGATTGTGGCTAGTTGGTAGTGTGTAAATGAAGTCTAGTACTTGACAAAACAGTTGGGCCAGGAATGTTTTTGTTTTACTTGGGTGACAGGTAAGGGAACTTAGAGATCCTGTTAAATAAAAACACTTTTAATCTACAGCTGTGTGAGTTCTGCATGAAGCCTTGTAACACGAAAACCTTGAACCCAAGTATTCCTCTTCAATATGTAATGATTTTTATCTTTCAGGATTTTGGTTTTTTAATTTATTCAAATTTATTTTTCCCAAGAATTCTCCTGTCCCTTCAACTCTTCCTGAACCCATGACAGCTAGTGAGGCAGCTGCTAGAAAAAGCCAAATAAAAGCAAGGTGAGCAGCGAATGTGGCTTTTTTCTTTTTTTTTGCTAATATTGTTAAGCTACGTGTTTGTCTGAAACCTGTTTTCATATGCTGGTTAATAAAGACAAATTATCTTAGTAGCAGAGGTCATTAGTATAGGTAAATGGCAATTCTAAGAGTGTCGAGTCTCTCCTTAGATTTGGCTCCTCGGAGGCTGTTTGGGTTTGAACCTGCCAAAATGTGTGATCTAGGTTCTTTTATATTCAGCTATAATTATTAGCTCTGTTTGGACTCTGACTTCATTAGGCTATTGTGAATGAGAAGCAAATGAATGGGCTCATCAAAGCAGTGCTAGAGCCGCGTAGATGCGTCTGTACCGTTTGAAGGTCGTGTCATGGTCTGGACGTGGTTGGTTTTGCTGGCTCTGCTGTCAGTTGGTAACGTGCAGCAGAGGGCAGGTGCAGAGTACGGATGGAATAATGTTTTAAACTGCATCTGCATTTGCTAGACAATAGTAGGAAGATTGATAGATCTTCCTAAATAATGTTTGCCTGGTGGCCTGAAGTTAGAGCAGGTTAAGGCACGTGGTGTCTTGTTATAATGTGTTGGGAACTAGCATGAGGTGTTAGGTACTGGAGCTCAGATGGTGAATTAGTGGAGTTGTTTAAGCAAGTGGACAGATTGAAAAAACATGAACACTATAACCTGTTAATGGGATTAAAGCTCAAAAGTACTTTGGTTTTGAACGTCTCTAGTAGCCTGGCAGACTATTTTACAGCTCTGAAATACTTCCAGGAAGACGCAAATATTTTGAGCTGTTTGAGTGTTACAACTGCTAGAGGCTAAATCTCTAACAAAAAGTAGAAATGAGTTGATTTAACAGGTAAGGTTGAGAAAAACCCTTATTTCCTGTATGGATGCGTAGTAATTGTATCTCTAGTCATAGGATTGCGGACTCTAGTGCCGCACCCAACTCGCACTCGGTGCTGTGAACCGAGGAAAGCTTATGCAGAGAAATTCCCTCCAGTGCCGTGGTCTCCTTGGGAATAAGGCTGTTGTGTAGCTCCTTCTTCACTTTGGTGTTCTGCAGCAGCCACGTTGTGTTCTATGGCTGCAGCGGGGGGCGAGTGGGATTTTTAGGCAGCAAATTTTTAGGTATTAAAATTCAATTAGGTAGTAGAGCAGCACATGATTAAAAAAAGACTGTTTCTTATTCAAATTAGACATAATATCTATGGCTGCAGCGGGGGGCGAGTGGGATTTTTAGGCAGCAAATTTTTAGGTATTAAAATTCAATTAGGTAGTAGAGCAGCACATGATTAAAAAAACTGTTTCTTATTCAAGTTACACATAATATGTCTCTTAATAGCTCAATTATGTTTTAACCAAGTCTCTTCTATGGGAAAACTTGCCATTGCAGAATAACAGATACTGTTGGACCAACAGAAACCTCAATTGCACCGCGACAAAGACCAAAGGCAAATTCAAGCACTACCGCTTCTAGTGTATTGACGATCCAGAGCTCAGCAACTCCAGTCAAAGTACAAGTTCCTGGTGAATTTGGTAATCGTGGGCAAAAAGGTAACTTGACAAAGTCTAAGGATGGACAAAAGAAAATGCAGAATGAATTTTGTATTTCTTTTCCATCTTGCTCTAGGAGGGATAAAATTTAAAAGGCAAACTCATGTCCTTTTTTCATGGGCCAAAACCCAAATCTTCAGCTTTGGCAAAAGACTCTACATGGGCAAGTAATACGTTTGACCAGGTGCCACAAAAACTACATGCAAATTGTTCAGAAGTGCAAGTATTTTTTCAGGGTGCTTAACACGGAGTTTGACTTAACTTTATTGCTGGGGACTGTGAGATAAGTTCATGCTCAGTTTTGACTAGAAAACAATTCACTGTAAGTACTGAGCTCTAGTGTAACAGACTACTTTGGTTGTAGCAGGAAAAACCTTTTCTCTGCGCATCAATAAGTAGTGAGATAGCAACAATATGTTGGCGTTATTTGTAGGCTGGAACCGTGTGAATACTCCACTTAGCGAATGCTTCACGGATCCATTTCACACTGCTCTGTGGGTGCAGTAGAGGAGTAATTAATGGACGCTCAATCGAGGGAAATGGGTTTTTGATAAATCCTTTCTGAGTTTGTCTTTATCTCATTCAAAAGGACTTAGGGCTCTAAATATTCACTTAAATAGTTTTCATTTATATCTGGAATACTTTCCTAGTTGCACTTTGTGACGTTACGTGTCTATTATAGTACAGGAAGAGGAGTTTCAGGGCGGTATTGGGAAAGCCTCCAATCAAAAGGCCACGGAGAATGTTTGTGTCACAGGCGTAAACAACTTTTACTAGACAGGATTGAAATAACATCCAGCTTGGAAAGCTTTTCCTGTTAAGACAGGGAACAGATCATTCCTGGGCACTTCAGAAAACAAATACAGCATGCAAGAGAGATGGCTTTATGTTACTAGTAACTGCTTGCTTAAAAGGCTGCAAAAACAATTGAATGGCAACATTCATCAGGCATTCTGTTTAAGGTAATTTGATGAGCGAGCCAAGAGTTCCCTTAAAAAAGCATTGTGTACGTCCAAAATTGTACGGGTTGAGGGTTAGGGTTTGAGATGCTAGCAGGTACAACTTAAGTGTTCGTAAAGCAGACCTCTTGAACCCACCTTCCTCTGTTGTGAGACCAAAGAAAGTTTCCCACATAGACTAAGTAGAAATCATGCGTTGATGGGCCTGAAGTCTTATTGGATAAGAGAACTCGATATCTACCAGCTGTACTGGTGGTCACACTGGAAGGGAAAGTTTATAAACTGTTTCACCTGAAAGTGTTAAATAGAGAGGTTAACTGCCAGGGAGCGCTCTAGCTCAACTTGAGATATCAGCCGCCGATACCGTTGTCCGAATGTTACAGGAACCACGCGAGTGGGGAACGGGCAAGAAGTCTTGCAGTCCCAAGGGACCAACCAGCACCCCCCGCAGCAGAACAGAGTTCTTCAGCAGCTGCAGCAGGGAGACTGGAGACTGCAGCAGCTACACCATTTGCATCACCAGCAGCAGCAACCTCCCATGCAGGATGCTTACATTCAGCAGGTACGAGTCAGATCTGTCGGACGGGTTGGAGACACACACGCGTTAGCTTATCGGTAATGCTTTGAGTCAAGTGGTAGTTAAACATTTCTGTTGTTGTTGTTGCCTGGTCTCTCTCTGCTAGGAGAGAGAAAGGCTCCTGCTCCTTCTTTTTACCTTCAATTTCTGTCTTTGAAGTTGCTTTCTTTGTGCTGACTTGTTTTTGCAGTTTGACCCTGAATCCCAGCTTGCTTTCAGTCACCACCGTGTGGCCGAAATAAAGGTTTTGTCTATGTGTAAACATGCTTGAGATAAAAGTTAGGAGTTACCTAGGTGATGATGCTATAGATGGTTGTATGCACCCTATCTGAGTAAGGTTTTCCTGTCTTAAAATTTTTCTTCAGCGAAGAGCTGCTCTTTCTGTAGCTGTTCTGTCCACCCAGATTTTTTTATGGATACCATGTATTCTAACACGGTCTGGCTTGCATACTGTCAAGTAAAGTTGCTTGAGTGGCGTAGCATGAATAATTATAAACATCAGAGTAGCTAGATCAGACAAGAACTTTCAGATCCTATCCAAAACATGTATTGCTATTCGTTTTTTTTTTCCTTTCTCCCTGTTGAGACATGTTATTCTGGAAAGCATAGCTGAAGTATTTTCCACAAGGGCTCAGTACTGGTGACAATTGAACAAGTTGGAATGTTAATTGGTGTGCTTTAGAAAAGGCGGTGCTGAACGTGCAGTCTAACTTTTTGTTATGCAGACTGGTATTAATTGGGGGAAAAAAAAGGAAAAGCTTCCAAACACAGTCATTAAAATGCAGTGACAGAATGGCAAGTTGATTTGTGGTTACGTGATGTCTTAGCTGAACAATGCTGTTCAGTCACAGAAGTGACACTTTAATTGATGCTTCTTCTAAATATCTGGATATTCCTAAAGGGAGGGGATCATGACTTCTTAAAGCCATTTTATTTTTTTTTAATTATAGTATCAACAAGCAATGCACCAGCAGATGGTCCAACAGCAGCTGTTGATGCAGTCTGTGTACCAGCACCAACCTGCCCAATCTCAGTATCCCGCAATGGTATGTCAAGAGTGGAACGTAGATGGTACAATCTTAAACTATATGCTGTCTTTATAAGTCTGTTGTGAAGATGCAGTACGAGAAGTTTGTGGGTAGTTGTAATGAGCTGTGGATGTGCTAAACAGTGTCAAGTTCAGCATCTAAAATGATATTTGGTTCAAGGGGGTGGGGAACTAATCAAAAGTTGGTTGCCAAAGCTTATCCAGAGTTGCACTTCTGTGTGAATCGGATGGGATATATCCTGAATGTCATGAAGTAGGTATATGTTAATTTGAAATGTGCTTGGTGTTTAAGGTTTCCAGTAGTGACCGCAGCAACCAATGTATGTTATGCTACAAAGTGATAGAAGATGTGGTGGCATCAGATTCCTGCTTTAAAAGCAAGAAAGCTACCTGGCAAAATCTGTTTTTCCCTAGTCAGGAGAAATTGTCATGCAATTTTGATGGCTAATATTTAAGAACAGACGATGAAAACTAACTTTGTAGTGCTGCAGTAGCATATAGTTAAGCTGCAGTACTGAAAGATAAGCGGTAGTCTGCTCGAAAAGAAACATGGTGTCACTGGCTTGTTAGGGCAGGCGCTTGTCACCCATTTAACGGACAGGTCTGACTTCTGCTGAAGCTACGGAGCTTTTCTGGAGCGTGATGGTGGTTAGTGCCTTTGGCCGCAAAGCCGGAGTCGCGCTGGCTGGCGTGAATTTTAGTAACGCAATCGTTATCTTGCTTAGGTGCAGCAATATCAGCAGGCTCTCCTACAGCAGCAGATGCTTGCTCAGCAGCAGCAGCGGTCACAACAGCTGCAATCTCCTGAATATATCACCTCTCCACAAGACTTCTCACCAGCCTTAATCTCCTACCCTGGGTCACTTCCAGTGCATGCTGGAACAGTTGCGGATTCTCCCTACCCTGCAAGCAGGCAAGTCTTCTGACGCAGATGTACCCAAGGGTTACTTACTGCTTGCATTACTAATACTGATCAGCCCTGCTGAATCCTTTCCTCAGAAATTATTTCCTTCAATAGTAAGCTATTAGTGAAAGCAGATGGATAGTTGCTGTTCAGTGGTAAAGGATATTTTTGGGAGGAGGATGGGACACTTGTGAAGAGGAGCTTGGTGCAGTTTGTTAAAGAACCTGTGTTCACCTTGCTCATGAGCTTATTCTGGGAACTGGCTGCTAACCACTTTGCTTAGGATGGTCAGTAGCCTATTTTGAATGAGATTATGGATGTGTGAAAATCGTCTCAAATGCTCGTTTAAGAAAGGATTTAGAGTTGGCATTTATTTATTTATTTGCTAGGGCATCTAACTATTGTGTCTACTGATCAGAGGTCTGACTTCAGTATGTTATACAATGGAGTATGCCTTCTCAGTGATATGGTCCCTTTGCAGGGGCCTGTGGACTTAGCCTTGCTTAATAAAGTAAAATAAATAATGACTTTCCCATGAATTCTTATAAAAAACAGTGCGTGGAACGAAAAACCCTTCCTCTTCTGATGTCAAAAATGAATAGAAAAAAAAAACAAACGCAAATTTCTCCAGTTTTACTCAAGTTATGGATGAGGTTATGTATTAATATAACTAACTTGCTGATAGCTGCTCTTCTAGTTGGCTTCAGACAAACAGAGAAGCGGTAGGTGTAATTTTCTAAAAGTATACTTTTTTTTTGAGGAAAACAAGGCAGTCTCCTATGGCAATATAGAAATGACCACAAATGAAATGCAGTTTTTGCCCTTGTGCATGACCTTGATGAAGGATTCTGCACTTTGACTAGAATTGATAAATTAAAAAATAAAAGTGCAGGGATTGCGTACAGAAATGATGCAATCAAACCGTGTGTTTCAGGTGATCCGTTTACCCTTAAACTAGCTTTCAGACGCTTTTGGGATAAGCTGTTAATGCATGGGTGTTATTGTATGTAGTCTTTTGGTGTAATGAAGCGTGTCGTAGGTTTTCATGCTGATAAACAATCCTGTAATGTTTCTCTCTTACTGGCTTCCATGAACTCACTCTGCAGGTCAGGTATTCCTGATAGTGAAGCGATTGCCAGTTACCCAAAGCAGAGCATCAACAACCCACCTGATATGTCAGGCTGGAACCCGTTTGGAGAGGACAATTTTTCCAAGTTGACGGAGGAGGAGCTGCTGGACAGAGAATTTGACCTGCTAAGATCAAGTAAGGGACGCTTGAAGGCTTATTTTGCTTCACAGTAGATAAGGGCTCTGTAGTCGCTCAGAGGTTCCAACACCTGTCTCGTGAAAGGGCCGTCTGGTATGTACGGCAAATTCTTTCTGAGCATTTGAGGGCAGAGTTGGGCCTGTCTTCTTTCTTTACTTTCCCTTTTTGAAAACGTGTGCAATAGGAACTCGCTGTCTAAGATAGGTAGTTACTGGCTCACATAATACAGAAATGGTAATACCTTACCTCTTAAATACCGCTTGTGTCACCTTGATTGTCCAAGAAGCTCTGAACAGCAGAGGGATGTTGTCAGAGAGGAAGAAAAGTTTGGCTGCTTGCTTTAATTCCTTCCAGCTTTTTTTCTTGCACACCAGAGCAGAAGATAGTGTGGGTCTGATACGTCCTTTGAAAATGCCTGAAAGGAAGTTGATCTATTACATTATGTTAATGTTTTGTAATGTCCTTTTTGATGAGTGGCTACATGTAAGGGCTGCTTTATTGTTCTGATATGGCAATAGTTGAATAAACTTTTTTCTCTTGAAGTCAGTTATCTCAATGGTTTTTACTTGGAATTACTTCCTTTTCTGAATTGCTTAACACGTGCTCATTAGATGCTCTTGCTAAAACTGGTTTTGTTGAGGTCAGATTTATTAGTGAGGCTTCTAAGATGTGACAAAATTGCTTAACACGTGCTCATTAGATGCTCTTCCTAAAACTGGTTTTGTCGAGGTCAGATTTATTAGTGAGGCTTCTAATATGTGACAGTGTCAAAAACCATATGGTGTGTACTTGGCTGACTGTCAGCAAGTTCCTTGCAAATAAAAGTGCAGTAAAGTTGAATTACAACTAATTGAAAAAAAACCCTATGCCTTCAATTGAGTCTCTCTCTTCTTGGATTTCTGTGTCCTTCAATGGCAGCATTACCTGTTAATACTTAAGGGAAGTGACTGTTTTGATGGGGTGATTTTTTTTTTTGGTGAAATTCTAGTTGATTGTTTTCACTTGTATCCTGTGTTGCTCGAATAAGACTCCTATTTTTGAGATGTGGATATAGCCTGCACACGTTTGACAGTAAAATGACTTACTGCTAGCTGGGGGAAAATGATCATGAACCAGCTGAAAAATAAGCCTTCTTTCTGAATCCAAGTTTAGAATTGAAATTATTTAGTACTGGAATTGAATATCTTGAGGCACGCTGATTCCAAAGGAAACGTTACAAGTCTTTTGAAAAAATACACTGTTAAATCTGGAGAAGGCTAGCTTGAACCAAAAGGTCAGCACAACATTACTCTTTGCCAGAATCTTTAACTGACTGTTAGGCTGCTCGCTCCAGTTACTCTAAGTTTTATGAGGTTCATTTGGTTAAGCCACACATGTAGGTACAGAAGAAGATGATATTAACCAAGGACACGTTTCAAGTAGCTTTACAAAGGAGCTGGAAAATGCTTTACAAAAAATACGCTTGCCTGGAATAGCTCAATAGGCTGGTTCGAGTAAGCTGGGGAAGTAGAAAATCAGGGAATCATTTAGGTTGGAAAGGACCCTTAAGATCATTGAGTCCAACTGTTAACCGAGCACTGCCAACTCCACCACTAGACCGTGTCCCGAAGTGCCTTAAATAGCTCAACCGCTGCTCTGGGCAGCCTGTTCCGGGGCTTGGCAACCCTTCCGGTGGAAATGCTGAATTGCAAGCAAACAGTTCCACTTAGTCAAGGATAGAATAACTTGGAGCTAAATGTCGCTAACTGCTGACTCTAAATCTCCAGCAGAAAGAGCAGGTAACTGCTCCTATAATTCCATTATTCAGTTTTTGTACTACAGGTGTGAAAAAAGTCTGAAGCTTTTCAACACTCAATTTGCTTAGGCATGATGTGATGAGAAACTTGATATGCTCCATCAGAAAATAAACATGACAGCATAGATTTGCTTAGTAGTAGTCACTTGAATGCAGAAAACAGGAAATAAAAATACCTCTCTGGCTTGACCCCATAGCACACTAGATGGCAGGCTTGTTTATAGGTGGTGGGAGGGGCAGTTAGCTCTTTCCTTAGGCCTTTGGCTGGCTTTCCGCTAGAGGCGCAGTGGAGGGGGGCGTTCTAGTTTTAATCTCAGCGTGTGTGTGTTTGTGTGTATGTCAAAGATGTCAAACACCTTTTAACTTTGGGGTTTTTGGATAATAAAGACGTTGTGCCAAAGATCATATGAACTTACGTTGCAGTGTTAATGCCTTCACTGCAGTCAAAGCAGCAATATTGAATTTTGTCTACTGGTACTTTCTCAAACTTAGGTGGATTAATGAGAAAATGGGAGATGCATTGTTCAATTAAGGCTTATACCTATAAAAGGGTCATTAACTGTATAATAATTCCTGGAATTGCCTCAGATCATCTTAAGAATCGAGGCTTAACTACCTTTAGATGTGAGTTATCTCTTATAAAATGAATTTTTTTTTTCTCCATTATTGACTTTACTGTGAATCATGTTGCCACCTAGAGGAAGGAGAACTGAAGATAGAGCTTGGATCAATTGTTAAACTTTCTGTTGCTTAACCCCGGCTGCTGTCATGTGCTGTATTACTCGGAGTATTCTGAAAGTTTGTCTTTTTGCGATGTTACGTGGTGCTCAGTAGCACTGAGAACATTAATCCTTTCTTTCTGCGTCCAAAAGCCTGGCTTGTGCTGTTGAGCTGATGCTTTGTATGTAAATCGAAAATATTTTCAGTTGTATCAAATAATTTTTAAGCTGTTGTGTTTATGATGGTAATAGATGAGTGCTTAAAAATGGACAGCCCTTGTTAGACGATGAGGACAGAATTGGTCAGGCGAAGATGACTGTTCAATTTCATGTGTTTAGTAGCTTAATGTCATAGTGTCTGTAGTGATGGGTATTGCTGTGATGATTAGTCGCCTTGCCTTTAAAAAGGGAGCTAACTCCTAGAACAGAACACCTTGCTTGACTTTGTGAAAGTTTTCATAGTAAAAAGATGACAGCTGCTGTAAAATGTAGTGTGCAATTGAATGAGGATTTCTGAACTGAGCACTTCTGTGGAGGACTTGGATATGGGGGTTACAGGGTGGAGTTCTTGGTGTACGCTGCTGTTGCTCTGCCGTTCTTATCGCGAGTATTAACGATGGTCCAGCAGCATATGGTGCCGAGATTCTGACGATGTTGTGAAGAAACGGATGTCTTGCAAAGACCTTGTGTAAGCACTTAATAATCTGTGCGGAATTGGGAGCCAAGAAATTGAGTCCGCTTTCTCGCTGGGAAGAAACACCAGCGCAGCCTGCACAGTGAATCGCACAAAGTTTCTTCTTAGGCCCACAGTCATCTTGGTGCTTGAACAGACGCTTGCGGGCACAACGGCTGCAAAGCCCTGCGCCCGTCGCCTTTGCGGTGCTTCCCGTGTGAAGGAACAACTTAGGCCACCTGCGCAGGAAAGAGCTGCGGTCCTTACCCGGCTTTCTTTGTGCACGAGTGCTTCTCGTGCTTCAGAAAGTCCCGAGAGAGCTGTCTGCTGAGGAATCTTGGCCTGTGACTTCAACGGAAACAGCTGGGTTCCTTGTGCGTGCTTTTCAATACCTGCACTCGTCTGTGGAAGGGTCTGTCGTGCCACGTGGCACACAAGGGTGTCTCTGGCACCCATCTGGGCTGCCTTGTGTGATTATTCCCTCGGCGGAGAAAAAACTTGGGCCTTTACTGGAAGGAAGTTTCCTCTGCAGCACTGTCATAGGAAATGCTGACAGTCCCACTGAATCTGCTTGTGCTCATGTGGAGCTGGAGAAACCATTGCTGTCTCTTCTCTCTCAAAAGCTGTCTGACAAAGAGAAGTGGACCTTGTTAGGAGGTGGACAAATGACACTTGTGCCTCAACAGAGTGGAAAAAAGGCTTGTCCTTTTCTGATAGCCTTAGATTTGATGAACGGGCTTGTTTTTAAACAGGATTTTCTAGGGAAACGTATCCCAGTACGTATATGGCTAGGTGCCGTGGAGGACTTGAAATCTTCTATTTACTCATTTGACCTAATTTTTCTTGCATGCTTAGCATTTTAATCCATTTTGTTTTCGCTGTCCCTAGCCCTGCTGCTCAAGTTGGGAGATGAGATCATCATCTGGGGGCTTGAACTTGCCTGGTCCTGCCAGCCAGCGTTTGCAGGGCCTCTCCGAAGGGCAGCTCCAGTTGTTGCACCCTTAAAAATTACTGTAGAGTTCGATTGCCTGCAAACAGTACAGCAATCCACTGGATTGTCTGTGAAGGCAAGGCACTGGGAATAGTAGAACAGAAGCATCCCTTGCTCAGTCACCATTTGTAAAGATGCCAGTTGAAGGTCACATGTATTTCTTAGACAAAACACAAACAAACTCGACAAAAGGAAACACCCCCTCAAAACAAACAAATGAAAAACCCAACTCAACTCCCCCCCAAAACCTAAACCCAAACTCTTCTTCCCGGAGGAGAGGAAGCAATGTGGGTATGACTGCTCAGAATTGGGAATAAGAACTGTTGAGCATCACATCCAACAGCAGTAGTTTGTCTTCAAGGCTCAAAGCCAGTGGCATGAAATGCAGCTGCTAGTCCTTTGTGCATCTCGGCTAGTATTCTTTTCTGCGTGGCTGTGTCACCGTAGGATCACGTTGTTCGGGTCGGTTAGTCTCTGCCTGTTTTCAATAAGTAGAGCTTGAGGTGAGAGTAACTACTTAATCTCCTGCACTGGGAGCCCCCAGCTGGAGTTCTATTTTAAGTAGGGGTTGCCAGTAATAGAACAACTCCCACTTGTATTGCTTTGGAGAGTCTAATGGTAGGTAAGAGTGAGACGATTCACATTACGGACACTTTCATATGAACAGAACACTTGTCTGTGAAAACTGGCATGTAATTGCAAAACTCTTGGGCTTTGTAGCCAGGGTTAATGTGTGTCTGTCTGAAGCAGATGAGCTTGCTGTCTGGTCCCTGGTGGTTGTCTTGGTAAAGTCTCCCAGTTGCCGTATTGAAGGTCTGAACAGAAACTGTGCGGGGAGCTTGATGGGTAATTAGGGCACAGTCCAGCTGCATCGCTGCAGTGGCAAATTGTCGAGAAGGTTGTGCTGCAAATTGTTGGGAAGAGCAGCTGCTTGCTGTAAACAAGGGGGAAAGCAAAATTCTGTGTCTTGCGCATAGAGGATGTAGGATGTGAGCTGAAGGTGGGACACCTTGACACAGGGCTGGTCTTAGGTGGCTGATGGGCTGTGCTGGACCTGCCTGGGATCCGCTGTGGTGGTTGGGCTGGATGCTCTGCATCTCAAGTTGGTAGCAATGTTAGAATGAGAGCTCAGACAGAAAAACTTGCATGTACAGTGCCAGATGTGTTGCTTTTATGACAGTGTGAAAAACCTTTTGTGTGGGTATTGAAAAAAGAGTTGCAATGAGTCTGAGAAGGGTTGAAGAACATAGGAAACAGACACTATGTTGCTCTATGTGATATGACACTCCAATTGTTCTTAGTTACTAACACATGTTACCTGTACAATAAAAAGTAGTCCCAGCTATTTTGCTGTGACTGTCGACTTCTTGCATTTTGTGGCAAAGGCTGGCCAAAACACGGACAAAATGGATGACTTTGTGGTTCAGATAAGTATAGCGATTTTGACTGCAAAACCTCAGGAGCACAGAGGACTAGCAGTTTATATTACAGAGTGCATAGGTGGCATATAACATGTAAGAGATCCACATTTCCGGTATTCCATGACCAAATACGTGGTGCTCTTGGTGGGACGGGGGAATAACAATAGGTTGGTGCAGGTGAATTTTCCTGAGTGTTAAGTATGAACTGAAGATGTAGGATTCAACACCCCCCCCCCCCCCCCCAGTTGAGAGGATATTCCCCCCATACAGTAGATGGCTTTGTGTAGGCATAAGACCTGCCATTTTTATTTTACTTTATTTTTTGTTCTGTTTCATTTTGTTTTTTACAGACAGGCTGGTGGACAGGAGAGCGTCTTCAGATAAGAATGTGGAGCCACATTCTGCTCCACAGAAAAATCCTACCGAGGATCCCTTTGGTTCTGTTCCTTTCATTTCTCACGCAGGCAAGTTACATCTGTAACATCACTACCTCTTATATGTATGTTGTATACATATATATAAATGTATATATATGTATGTATCTGTTGAAGTATGTACATCAAGTTAAATGATCAAAGAATGATAAAGGTGTTGGATGCTTCATGACAGTAGGCAGGTCGAAGAGATATATTTAGAACGCTGATTACCTGCAGTTAGAAAACACTTCTGCATCCAATTCCCGGTACTTGTGCAGCATACGGGCTATGTACTCTTCGCCATGTGAATACGTTGGGCCAGTGCAGTGCCATTTGTGCAGAACTAGAAGCGCTTCTGCTAAAGGCAAATGACTTGCTAAGACCAAATTTTGCTGCTTTCCTATAGTCTGCTTCCAACTCAGGTTGTTTCTTCAGTTTGGTTCTCCAGCCAAGTTAAGAATATGAAGACTGTAAGCTCCTGCTGCATTTAATGCATAGTTTTGGTGCAAATTGAATCAAAACTAAAAAAATATCTGATGTTTTGTGTACGTTGCGGGGTGGCGGTGGGGGGAATGTTCATTATTGTGTTACGGTTCACCTTCGGCTATTTCTTCCTGGGATGGAAGTTAAAATAACCCTGTGTGTGAAACTGCATCGTCGTCCAACTTAATTGTCAGTTTGAAGGTGTGCTTGATCAGCACTTGTTAATACTTTATTTGGTAGCTGTGGCAAAGTAAAGCCTATGTGACAGTTGAAAAAGAGCTTCAATTGCCTGTGGAGCCACTTCGACACCTAAGTTACGTTCACAGTGCTTGTGTGACAAAGTGCCTTAATATGACTTCTAAAACTACTCTTCCAGAATTCAAAAGCTCAGGTAACATGCCTTAAAATAAATCACTTGGGCTCAACCTAAGTTAGCATCTGTGTTTACTTCCGCTTTCATCTTGCCTTCCTGACGATTGCTGGTTAGGGCTGCTTAATGCTCACAAGTGCTCTCGTGTTTATATGTGGTTATATGTTCTGACTACAGAATTCTGACTTTTTCAATTATGATCAAATAAAATGTTGATGTTATCAATACAGACTATTATCAATACAGACTATTTAAAATAAATAAATAAAAAAATTCCTCTCTTGAAAAGTGACAGTTGCTATTGAAGATGTGTTATACTGTATTAACAACGTTTGAGTTGGAACTGTGGTCTTTTCCTCCTGTGTTTTTCTCTGACACAGATCTCGGGTTGATAAATGTTGTTGTACATGGCCTGTAGCTCAGTAGACTCACCCAGACTATGTCTTTTGTTTCGGAGGCTTAAGGGCTCTCTGCTGAAAGGAGCACTTGACTAAACACTTAGCTAATTTCTATAACGTGATGTGAGACAACAGCAAGAGGCCGAAGATCACGTATCATCTTTTGACTTCACAGCTTAACATAAGGTGCTGGTAGTCCAGCAAAATAAGCGCTATCAGGTACCTTGACGTGTGTCCGGGAAGGTGATTCAGGGCAGGTGCAGAGGTTGGAACTGGAAGTCTTTTATCGGGGCAGGAAAGGACCATGGGGTGCTGTGAGTTGTGAGCCTGTGGGATTTCCCTGTGGAGCGGAGAGCACGTTGCAGGCAGCTGCTGCTGCGAGGAACGCGGGAAGGAGAACCTGGAACGCGATGGACTAAGGCTGCTTGTCTGTCACAGCTGTTGTACTTATTCCTTACAAGTGGGAATGGAAAGCCAGCAATGTGGTGTATGTCACTTGACATACTACGCGGAAGGCAAATAGCTCTGCGCAATGAACTAAGGCGTTACTGTGGGCCTCTTACTGTAGTTGACGGGAGAACAGTGTAGGAGCACTTTAGAGTTACTCGTGCTTGCCGTGTATCCTATTAAAAGTTTTCTCACAGGTACTACAGGTTAACTTGCGGTACACACTATTTTAAGGCTATCTGTTTGTGGAAAAAAAGTCATGACTTAGAACTCGAGACGGCTGGCAAAGAAAATTGGCTTGAGAAAGAATTCCAGTGCTCAATTTGATAAAACCAAAACTAACATTGCCAGTTTTTTCATAAAAAGAGAGAGGAGAAACCAGAGTTAGAGTATTCAGTAATGGGGCATTTAGGACAGGCACTGAACAAGTGGAAAACAGATTCTGGTTCTTGAATGCCTGAGATGCTGGATGGTGACAGTGAAATAACTGGCTCCTGTGCTCAGCTTTTTGGAATGGAAACTTTTGATTCCAGTGTGTGTTGACCAGCTTGCGTTCTAACTTGCTTGGTTAACAGCAAGCTGAATGTTTCAGAAGCAACATGCATTTTCTGCTATCGTTGAATCATAAGAAGGAAGTGTTCGCGAATATAGTATGGTTGGCTGTTGAGTTGTACTCTGTGGCCTGTGGCCATCTTGGGTTTGTTTACCCTTATTCTTTCTGGGATTAAACTGGGGATAGATTGGTTTTTGCTTCCCTCAGCCTAATACTGGCATTCAGAGAAGTAATAAAGCATTTGAGGTAACGCTCACAATGGTACGGATGGATTGTGTGAGAAGTGGAGACGTCGGGAAACTGTGACTGGAATTTCGTCAGGTGCTGACCTGAAGCTGTCCGCGAGGCGTTGTGCCTCTGGAGGATCTCCGTGAGCTGACGTCTGGCCTGTCTCCCTGGGAAGAGGTGCTAGTACAGGTCCTCTATTTAACTCTTGTACTAAATCTTGGTAAAGCTCATCTTCTCTACTGTAGACACGGTGCTTCCTGATGGAGTCACTGCTCTTAGTTGTACATGCCTAGGTCACCCCTTCCTGGTCACTGCACGCGTGTTCATTGTGTGGAGACTTGGGGACAAAAGCAAGTTATGTTCTGTAGCATCTTCTGTTTGATTTGAGACTTCCTGCACTCGAAGACTTGGTAGTGTCTTGACAGGATTACTATAGGTGTCTGTCCCGGACGAAGAGCAGTCTTGTGGCGTGTAACTCGCTAGTGCCTGCTGTGGATCTGGCCGAGAACCGGGTAGGAGTAAAAGGGACACGGGCTGGAGGCTTTACACAACACGTCCCTGCTGCAAGAGCTGATGTGTAGCATTGGCTGGGTAGCAGCAGGAAAGGGTGTTCTTCTGGCATGAGGAAGCGTGGGTGGCCGCTGCGCATTTGGGTACTTTTTTTTGTGTACTGCTGCCAACATGGCTTCGAACCACTGCAAATCTTGGTACCGCGGCTTTGGAGCTCATGGACCACTGTGCAGTCTGGAGCTTGAAATGAAACAGCTCACTGTAACTTAGCAAGAAATTATAGACATGAGAACAGGAGCAACAAGAAGAGTTAAGCCAACTTCCTCTACAGCACTAAACCAGCTCACGCCATTAGTACACGTTTCTTCGGCCACTGATGTTCTCAAATTCTTTGTCGAAAGATGCCCAGAGCCGCAACTGGCAATGGCTGTTGTATGCTGTTCTGATTTAGGTCGCTTGACAGTTAAAATCGATTCACTTAAATTATTTGCTGAATGTACTGCCTATGTGATTCTGTAACCTTTCCTTGGCCAAGGATTCAGTTACTGCTTAATGCGGGTGTGGGATCTTTCCCTGTATCAAGATCATCTTCAGACCTCAGAATTTTGAGGTAATACTTCTGGAGTGACCTGAACTTATTCACTTATCACAAGAATAAATGAGATGTGTGGGCTGTGCCAGTGGTGTGCTTTTTCTTTCCAAACTGATGCAGTGATTTTTTTTTTCATATCTTAGAGCCATCATGGTCACCTCTAACCTTTTTTCTTTTTTTAAACTTGTAGACTAATGATGTGAAAGAATATCTAAGCAATAGCTGGCAGGCACAAGTGTTTTGTTCTTTGTTTTTTTCCCCCCTTGAAAATAAAGGTGGTAAGCACTTGAAATCCCTATTACAATATTCAGCAGCTGCTGCTCTGGCTGTTATCAAAGAAATAGTGCAGCTTTAGTTGCAGCATGCCCGTAATCCTTGGGCCTGACATGTGGCAAATTGTTCTGAAATGATGGTGGCAGTATGCTACCAATTCAAAGAAGGCTTAAAGCCCTTATGCCCTGCTCTTTGGCCACCCCCGCCATCCCCTAAAATGACAAACCAGCAGCAGGCATGTAATTACTGCTCTTGTTAGAGGGAATTCATCTGCTGATAATCGGATGTCTCGAAAAAGAACATCAGAACAGAAAATTTCCTTGAAGCTTGGGATCTTCTTATATGATTAAAGATGTTCCACCTGGCTTGCATTTGAGGGAAGAACAATTGTCTCCTATGAGATGCAACCCTGATTAGAAGTGTAGTAATCTGAACAGTACATTACAAACAGATGTTACTCAACATTTTGCAGCTTTTTTTATAAACACAGATCTGGACAGTCTCTGCAGCGGTTGAGGCTTAGAAGATTGTGTGAAATCAAGGTGACAGAACACTTCCTTTCTGAAAGCTATTTGGCCAGAGCATTACATTGTCATTAACTGAGGAATCTTCCCTCTTGGGGGACCAAGATTTCTATTTATGGTGCCCTTTCTGTATTTCATTAGTTAGCCAACTTGTTTAAGAGTAAAAGAGGGGGAACTGTAGTGTAGGAAACACAAACCAAGGTTTTCTTGTTGAGTTTACAACTGCTGGTGCAGTGGAGGATGTGTTTGTGTCTTTGGCGTCTGACACCTGCAGTTCTCTCCCTGTTAAAGGGACTAAACCAAAGATGTGGCAGCAGAGCAGGTCCCCGCAAAGACAGCTTCTTCCACGAAGCTTGCCTATGGTGGACTACACCGTGTTTAAGACGGCAATTGTAGACTAATGTCAGCTTGGAGCAGAAAGCTCTGTTTGTTTACACCGCCTCGACACAAAGTGAAGAATAAAGTGAGATACTTGCTGTTTCCTGAGAAATACAAATGTGGGAGCAGGGAGGTCACCACTCGGGAAATACTTCAGAAATTAAAGTGCTTTCTTCAAAGCCGTGTAGCAGGAGCCGTTGCAGCTCCTGGGCTCAGCGGATGCGTGCCACTTGGTTTCCCGATGAAGTTGTACGCATAGGGTAGTGCACGCTGGTTCAGAAGCCTGGGTAATATGGAGCTGTTACTGTAGCCTGTGAGTTTCTAGTCCCTGCAAAATTGATAGTCTTTTTGGTCATTGTGACGGTGTGCAACATACGGGACCATAAATTTCCTGCTGTGGTAAAGAAGTAGAATTCATAACTCTGGCAAGGAAACGGTGCGTAAGGAGGAATGTTAGGGCTAAAGAGGTGGCAATGCAGGAAATGCCCTGCTGGGAAATCATTTGTTGGGAAATGAGGGGGTTGAAGCTGATGAGCTAATAAGCAGTTAGTCGTCTGGCGCTGTGATGATGTTGCAGCTGGAAAAAGTATGTATGCTTGCAATATCTTTGAGCGGCCTCGGAACAGAGATTTGTCCGAAAATGTTTTCTCACGTGCGGGGACAGACGTTTACCGATATGGAGGGTCAAGGTTCCCTTTCCCAGGTGCTGCCTCCTTCTTGCCGTGGCTCAAACAGGGCAACGTGAGCCGCGTGCGCTGTGCGACGCCTGAGCCCTTGGCCCTCAGAACAAAGGCCGCCAAGCTAACTAGTGCCAAGACAGATGGCCGCGGGGGAAGAATTGTGGGAACGAACAAGTACTTCACTTTTTCAGTCCTGTTGCTAGCTATTCGGGTGCCTTCCATGTCAACAAGTAAGGTGCTCAGCGTTTTCTGGAAGAGTGGCTCAGAGCTCCAGGTGAGCAAACATAGCACGCGTAGCCTCCTACTTAGCGTGCAGGCGGTCTCCGTGTTTACTACAGAACGCGAAACTCTAGCGAGTGCGATGGCTCAGTGGATTGTTCCTTGCTTCATCCCGGTTCGTCGAGAGGTAGTACTTCAGTAGTCTCGAGAAAGGAAATGTAGCCTGCTGATACAGATTCCTTAAAAACTAGATTGTTGGGATGACTGATACCCAAAATCATTTGCTGTGTGTTGCCAGCAAGAGTAACAGTTATAGGTGGGTCTAATACGAGATGTGGGAATGGCTCGTGTGCCGCTACTAATAGCTTGAACGTGGTTCGGGAAACTGCCTTAAGTGTTTGGCTGCGTACTGTCGAGGCCTGCTTGATGCATGTTCTGTCCAGAGAGATCCGCTTCTGAGGGCTAAACATCCTGTGTCTTGAATTACTCCTTCAGTGAGGTAGCAGCAGGTGGGAGAGGCCGCGGTCTGTCTCATCGGTGTCCTTTGCACTTGGTTTTCCAGCAGCAATTCACAAATCCTACTTAAACTTTCTGGGAAGTCAGGTAGGTGAGACATGCTGTAGTTCAGTTCTTGCCTTGAGAAAAAAAATTACAAATTATTTTCCGCATATTGAAATTATGTGTAAAGGTATAAAAATTCCTCGGGAGCGTGAACTCATGGATATTGACATATGTAAAAACGTTTGGGGTTTTTGTTGTCTAAGTAATGTCTAACCTAGAAATATTTCCTTTTTCTTCCCCTTTTAAATCTAATTGCTTTTATGTTAACATTAGTGTTTCGGTAAATATTGGAAACGGCAGGATTTGGAAGATAGGGGGTTATGCAGTGCAATGTGAAGGCTGTACCTTTGGGAAATCTAAAGTCAGCAGCCAAATAATCCAGATTCTAATTTAGTGGGTAAAGCAAATATGTAGTATTTAAAATTACAGTAGATAAGAAGCAATCTGACACCAGAAGCAAAGAAGAAACAGCTCAAAGCCCTAATCACCCGATGTTTTTAGGCATTCTGGTTGTCTTAGTTTTAAATCCATACGTAAAATACATTGTAGCAGAATTTTTATCGTTATTTAAAGTGTAATTGCAAAAGAGCAAAATGGCTACGGGATGCAGAAATCGACTATTAATTCCCTTTAAAAAAGCAAGACACGGTTCTTGTAAAACTCAGCGTTCCGGTCTAAAGCGGAGCATAGAAAGAAAAACATCTGACTTGGCCTGCAGGTTGCATGCTCGTTTCCTCGTGAAGGAAGAAAGAACCTGAGAAATTATTTTGTGTAAGAACAAGAGAGCCGCGGGCTGGGTTCTGGCTGAAGACGTTTTACAGAGCACTGACTGAAGCACACATCCATCCCCAGCTTTTTCAATCCCGTGAACACACTGAGCCGATGACATGTCAACAATGGTTTAACAAAGCTGTGAACGTAAGGTGTTTGGTTAGGTGAGAGGCGCAGCGGTCTAGCGCAGAGCCTGTTAATAACCGCTTTAATGCTGACCAGCCTCGTCCCCAGCGCTGGGTCAGCTGCTGCAGTTGTAAGAACCTGGTACCCATATCTCCCAGGTGTGAAGCGGGGTCCGTGGATGTTCCTAGGCAGTAAAAGGGAACTCGGTGTGGCCCTTAGGCAAGCACCCGCTGGCTGTCAGTCCGAGTCCTCGCAGGCACGCACGGCAACGCGGTTGGCTTTGCCGTAGTTCTGGTCCCCGTGTGGAGGTTGGTACCCACGTAACGTTCAGCCTGCAGTGGCTGTGACAGTAGCCTCGCTTCTAAGTATTGCTCGCACATTTTTGGTAGTTGCTCTGTGCCTGCAAAGAGGTGAAATACCGTTGCTGTTACTAGTGCTACGTGTTCGATTAAACATCGTTCAAGCAGCGTGGCTGCCGTGTGATCTGTGTCCTAGAGAAAAGGACATCTCAACCCCAAGTGCGCTTTACCCAGCCGACACCAAGTGTTTCGCTTTTCCTGCTCATTCTCTTCAAATAGAACTGTGACAGTCAGTTACGCTCCTGAAAACATCTCTGGGCAGTAGCAGGGAGATGCTTGTTCTGCGTAAGTCTGCTGGGTGCCGTTCCGTACCAAACCAGTGGCGCTAGGCAGGCTTAGCTGGTCTGCGGGCTCTTGCCATCTGCTTTGTTTACTGATGCAAAGGTTTTACTGCTCCCGGTATCTCTAAGCCAGCCACCCCACGAAAGAGCCATCAGTGAACTGTTCTCTTGGCTCTAGCTGTCGGATAGTAAATAGCGGGGATGAAGGTGTTGGAGTAAAATGAATGGATAAACGTCCTTCCCATAGAGAAACCGAGCCAACAGATCCGACTTGGAAACCAACAAGGAAACACTTCTCTCAAGTTAAAGCAATAACTTGTTTTGCCCGAATTGCTACAGGAGAAGTGAGAAGGGGCTGAATGTGGAGCCTCAGGGTCACGAGAGAAGACGACATTCTCTAAGCATAGGTTTGACAAGCAAGTATTGCTTAAAAACAAAACCAACACACACCCCCCCACCACCCCTGCGCCCCAAATGACAAGCTCTGTCACAGTGTGTGCTTCGTGGGGAAGGCCCTGATGGAGAGAGGCTGTTTCTGCTGAACTCAGGGGCAGCATGGGGGGCGGGGGGAACCTTTTCAAATGCCTGAAAGGCAGTGACCGTCAGCGTTAATTCTCAGGGGCGTTTATGAGTCAGAATTAGGGGTTTGGTCCTCACGGGGGCAGGTGGGAAGGGAGGGACGCTTTCAACCCAAGAGACATATTGGAAAACATCCTTGTCCCTGCATCTCTCTTTCCATGGAGTTATGTTAGCCCTTTACCGAGCGATCTCCCCGCAGGGACTGTCTGTCGTCTTGCCCGTTGCCCTTTGTACGCCTCTGAACGCGCTACTGAGGCAAAACCCCCACACGCCGCATCTCTGTGGCGGCTGGTGCAGGCTCCAAGTCCCACCTCTTCAGCTCCTGTTAGGAGTTGGTGCCCTCCAGGCAGGACAGAGATGGTGTCCTCAGGTAATCTTCCCTGCAGTTTGGACAGGAACAAACTTCTCTCTTGCCCAGGCCCCGATTTTCGTAGACCTTAGAGGAACCTGATTGTCTTGGAGAGGTTACGTAGGATTGTCTCGTGCTATCAAAGCTTGGGAGAGCAAAGACTGGGGACTGACACGGTGTCATTCACTCATTTCCCTTTTGGAACTAGGTTGAATATGTCGGTAGTGCCATGCTATGGTAGAAACCTTAGCACGGTGGGTGAGTCTTGGAGAGTCCTAAGGGATGCGTTTGTCAACAAGGTGCATTTGCCAGCGGAGCCGAGCCCTCCGAGGGCTGTCGTTGTTCCCAAACGGTACCCGAGATCTGAAGTGAATTATCTGAAATTGCTAAATACTTTTCTTTCACCTGTGCTGTTTTAGTGACTAGAGCAATAAGCTTGTCAGAGCAGACTAGCAAAGCAGCAGCACTTCAAGAAATAGGTATTCTGCTTTAAAAAGACAAACAACGAAATCCCAACACAAAACTTAGAAGCACGCTGGCTCCTGTTTTCCTGGCGAGGGGTGGCTGTGTAATGAGTGCGTTTGAAAATCTGGCTCTGGAGATCACCTGCATCCATTGGTCCCTGCTCCCTGCCCCAAAATACTAGTATTGTGTTTCTAAACTTCTGTTGCTTAAGGAGCAAAGCTATAAGGTCTGGCTGTTAATCAATTTTACAAGTGCTGTTGGAGATACTTGGTTTGATTTTAGCTCATTTCCCTCAGTAAATACAGAATATACGTTTGCATCGCCTCTTGGTATGTGTGGAGTAAGTGTTGACTTTAAGAGTGTGTTTCAAGTTTTGTTTTGCATTTTTCTTCGGACCTGCAGGTTCCCCTGGAAAACAAGTGGATAACCTAGCCAGCAGTCAAGGAAATAACTTAGGGACCCCGGCCAAGGCTGGAAAACTGAGCCATGCTTTTAGAGATCCCCGGCCAGGGAGGAAGACTGCAGAGGGACAAGTGACAAAAGGTGGCGATGAGTCGGAGAGCGATTTTGAATCTGATCCTCCTTCTCCCAAGAGCAGTGAGGAAGAAGAAGAACAGGAGGATGAAGAAGTCTTGCAAGGCGAGAATGGAGACTTCAATGATGACAATGATACAGAACCGGAGAATTTAGGCCACCGACCTCTCCTCATGGACTCTGAGGAAGAGGAGGAGGAAGAGAAGCAAAGTTCCGACTCCGATTCCGATCGTACCAAGCAAAAATCTGTGGAAGGGCTCCTGAGCGGTAGGTTCAGAGATGGTGTGGGCAGCGGTGAAATCAAAGAACCCCGTTTGATGCATACGTCCTTGTCTGAGGTGCCGAGTACTGTGCTCAAGGTGAACCCTGGCCAAGAATTTGACGTGTTTGGTGCCGTGCCCTTTTTTACTCTGCAGCCTCAGGCAAGAGAGAAGGTGGACAAAGATCTCTCTTCTCCGATGGCTTTTCCCGGCCTGAACCAAGAGCAGGATGACTTTGATGTTTTCACAAAAGCCCCCTTCAGCAAAAAGGTGTCTCAGCAAGATGGCCCGGTGACGGGAATGGAGCCTCTGTTCTCCTCCACCTCGCCACGGACCGTCGATATTTTTGGCTGCACCCCATTTCAGCCTTCCCTTCTCCCCAAGACCGGTGGGAGTAAAGAGGACCTGTTTGGGCTGGTTCCTTTTGAAGAGATCACAGGGAGTCAGCAGCAGCAGAAGGTGAAGCAGCAGCGTAACCTGCAGAAGCTTTCTTCCCGCCAAAGGCGCATGAAGCAGGACGTCTCCAAGAGCAACGGCAAGCGCCACCACGGCACCCCGACCTCCACGAAGAAGGCGTTGAAACCGAGCTACCGCACCCCTGAGAGAGCCCGCAGGCACAAGAAAGCCGGCCGCAGGGACTCGCAGAGCAGCAACGAGTTCCTGACCATCTCGGACTCCAAAGAGAACATAAGCGTTGCGTTGACTGACAGCAAAGATCGAACCAACCCTCTGCAGGCAGATGAGAGTCTGCTGGACCCTTTTGGAGCCAAACCCTTCCACCCGCCAGACTTGATGCGGCACCCCCAGCATCAAGGGTTTGGTGACAGCCGCGGGGATCACGGCACAGTGGTAGTGGCTGGTAGATCCAGGCAGAGCTCCTTGCATGGAGCCATTCACGGTGGCGACGGGCTGAAAACGGATGACTTTGGTGCGGTACCGTTCACGGAACTGGTCGTGCAGAGCGCGCAGAGCCAGCAGCAGCAGGCGCTAGAGTTAGATCCTTTTGGAGCAGCTCCGTTTCCTTCCAAACAGTAAATGCTTCCAATGGGTTTCTCCCCCCCCCTCCACCTCTCCGAGTTACTTCATAGAGGTTTTAATCGGTGGAGTAATTTATCTGGTTGAATTGCCAGGGACCTGGGGCGTACAGCGTGTTCAAGTTCAAGAAGGCATGGCCAGGTTGCATGATGAAATGAAGAATGATGACAAATTTTCATTGGTTTGTGGTTTTTTTTGAGAAAAAATAGTAAAAAACAAACAAGGAGCATCGTTTTATTATGACAGATGGCTCCCAGAGTGAAAAGAGAAATCGGATACGAATCATTGTCTGTCACTGACTTTAGGCTCGGAACATACTGTCGTTCTGCGCTTTCGCGTTGCCTTTTCAGTCCTCTGTGACGTGCTGACACGGAGGGAGGGGGACGGGCAGAGAACGCATGACAAACTTTTTCCATCCGTACAGGGAGGCTGATGGAACTGTGCTGGTTCTCCACGTCTCAGTTCTTAGACCTAAGAACCAAAATGTACGACTAATATCCCGACGGATCTGCTGGAAATAGTCATGTCTTTGCTTCCTAGGTGAAAACTACCTTTATTAATCATAAAAATAAAGCAGCTAAGTCTTCGAGGGGCTGGGGCCCAGAATTCCAGAGCACAGCTGTGGCTTGGGACCTGGTAGACATCTATGCAGCTGCAGAGATGAAAGGCAGATTATTTTTTTGTGTGCCTAAATGTTCGATTTTTTTTTTTTTTTTTTTTACAGTAAGTGCCATTAATGTAAAAAAGCAAACTGGAAGTTTAGGGTTAAAACTAAAGATACAGAGAATGTAATGGTTTGTGAGACGAGAAGCCTGAATGTGGGGGAGTAAACCGGCAGGGATGCAGCCAGTGTTTGCAGCACTTTGAAGACTACTCAGTATGCTGGGATGAGAGGCTGGTTTACACAAGGAAATCGTTCAGCACGTATGGAGTATCCCAGATGACTTCTATAGTAGACTGTGAGATGTAACCATCAGATCTGATTACAAATTGGGGTTTGTGTCTGAGAAATACCTTTTCTTTTCCTTTTGGATTTTTATTGCAAAGAAAACGTGTATTCTTTCAAACCTGTTGTTTTTTAAAACAATAGTAATTTTATGAAATGACTGTAACCTAATGTTCTTTTAAGTTCTGTTGAAGCTATTATTGTACTTAAGTGTATTTTATAAGAAAGTTTTGCTAAATGCACTGAGCTTTGAGGAGACTTCTCTGAACGTGGATTTGTTTCAGAGCAGAAGCAGTAAGCAGCAGGTAGCTCGCAGAAGCTGATGGCTACTGTACCGGTAAGCTGCATTTCACACCACGAAGCCTTACGGGCAGGACTCTGTCCTGCTGCGCCGTACCTCTGAGACGTTAGGTGCGCGAGATGTGGCCCGAAGTTTGGGAGCGCGGTGCCAGTAGGTGACGGGAAGGTGACGTGAACAGGCTTGTCGAGGACGCGATTTCGTTACCGTGATGTACGAGCAGTGCGCGTAGGCGGAACGGCTTCTCCGCTGCCTCGCAGCGCGTGCCAAGCCACGTACGCCGTTTGCAGAGCGCGTATGACTCGGGACGCTCCAATTTGCCTTTTTCCTACGGCAATCCGGCTCGTCTCGACTTTATATCCTGCTCTGCTGAGAGCTTACGAGTAGATAATTGGATGTTCATATATGGAGGACATAAGCGTTCCTGGTTGTGCGTGTGTGTGTTCCCTGTCCCTCCCCCTTGGCTGGAAGTAAAACGAAGTATTTGGGGTTGTGCTTTTTTTACCCCCCTCCCCAAATTCTCCTGCTTGTTATACAGTTGTCCTGAGATCTGTGAGGGCGGGGGGTGGATCCCTTACAATATTTGTTGTAAAGACCACGTTAAAAACAAGTCACTTGACTGCTTTGAGGGTCGATGAAACATTCCCTCGGATCTATGTGAGATTGCTTCCCCTAGTCCTGGAATCTGAAAGTAGCTCATACGTATCTGCACACCTTTGTTACCTTTATCTTCCTCGTTTTCATTCTTCTCACAAGGTGAAAGCGAGATCCTACAGCTGTACTTTGTTCAGTACGCCTTTTTTGGGCTTAGAAGTTAAGCTCTTAAGAGGTTATAACTAGAAATGTTTCAACTCTTTTTGCACAGGAGTTTCTTAGGCTTTATAACTACTGTTCTCACCTGGGGTTTTGTGCCAAAGGCTGTGAGAAGCGCACGCCAAGTTTTGTAGCATTTCGGATACTCAGGTTAACTGTCTTTTTTTGTCTATTTTTGTTTTTTTGTTTTGTTTTTTTTTCCTCTGCACATGCTTGCGAGCTGCCTTTCTGTGGTTTCCTTCTGAACTGTCACTTACCTGCCTAAGGAGGTGTTGGAACAGGACGGTATCACAAATGGGGCAGGTGGGCGGAAACAAAACGAGAATAAAACAACAGGCAACTGACCATCGGTCTGAAACGCGGCTGGCCCTCGCTGAAGCCATGCAGCCGCTGCTTTTCCCGGTGGAAAGGCAACTGCAGGGCTTGCTCGGCCCTCTGGTGCCGGGGGAGGAAAGAGTTAACGATGGGCACGTGGCTGGGGCTTAGCTCCTCGCTCTGTGGGACACAGAGGGAAAAGGCCCTGCATTTAGGCTGGGCCTAAACATCAGGTAGATTAAGAACAGAAGGAAGCGTGTTTGGTTTTTGTCTGCTGACCCTGAGACTTCAGGCTGAGGAGCACCACAGGTTTTCCTTGTGTGGCGGGTCGGTTTGGTTTTTGGCAGAGGGTCCGTAAGTGGTTATATTACAGCACAGGAAAGCGGAAGTGAGATCGCACGCAGAAACGACGAGACGAGATAAAAGCAGACTGTAAACCCAAATGACTCTAAAACTGGCGTAATGCCTCTGGCTGCATATGAGTTATGACCGATGATACTTGCTTTCTAATGGCCTTAATAAACCTTGTTCTCAGTATTCTAGTTATGAAACAGGTTTGTGCATAATTGTAACTTTTTTGTTTCTAGAGTTAAAATTATTTTATCCTTTCTTGTGCCTGAAAAGAGATTAGTATGCCTCGCTAAGTTGACTTTGCGTGGTATGTATTGTTTATACACAACTAAACCCGAGTTCGGGTTTAATTTCGGCTGAGATTCGCTATTCAACAGGGACGAAATGTGGTACTGTCTGGGAACGTGATGTCCTTTTGCCTTTATTTGGTGTGTGTGCGTGCTCGTGCGTGTGCTTGCCACGGAGCGTACCGTGACCTCACGTGAAGTACGGGAAAGACCTTGCTGCACTAGACACGTACCGTACTGTCTGCGAAGACCGTAATGGCAAGGTAAGGAACTGATGCTTCCCTTCCAACAGGAAATACCGATTGATCTTCACAGCTTCTCTTTCAGCGTGTTGAGTGACTGAACCACAGGCCTTTTAGAATCGGCTGCTCGAGAGAGAGATTCTGCCAAAAGGTACTACCGAGCCTTTAACGGCTGCGGTCACTGACGACAGAGACGGTAGTCGTGTTTCTCTGCAGACTCTGAGACGGCCTTGAGATGCGCGCAGTCACTCGGGCTGACCTCCCGGGTGCGGGACCCGTGAATGCCAGCTTTGGAGGGCACGACTTGTAATCCTTCTGGGCGTCCCAGTTAGTAAAACCAAGTACTGTGAAAATAAGTTGATATATTTGCTACTGTGAGAATAAGAGTTTATCTGGAGTTTTTTATACTATATTGTGTATTTTTATATATGAAAAGTATATATAAAATATACACATGCTCGCACACATCACGTATCTCTTGGAGTTGCTGCGTTTTTAGTAACGCAGCAGCCACGCTCGCTTTCACGTGACTCGGGGGAGTGACTGTGAGCGAAAGCTGCATATATTTGCTACTGTGAGAATAAGAGTTTATCTGGAGTTTTTTATACTATATTGTGTATTTTTATATATGAAAAGTATATATAAAATATACACATGCTCGCACACATCACGTATCTCTTGGAGTTGCTGCGTTTTTAGTAACGCAGCAGCCACGCTCGCTTTCACGTGACTCGGGGGAGTGACTGTGAGCGAAAGCTGCGAAAGAAAAAAAAGTGCAAAGGGTGGCTGCTGCGTTCCTTTCCTAGAATGCTTATTTCAAAAGGAAAATCAAGGAAACTGTATAGCTACATTTGTGACTAAGGCATCACCTAATGTTAAAGAGCATAAAAACTATTTTTAAATTGCTGGCATTCAGCTTTTAAGTGCACTTTCCTGAACTACACTTCCATTTCTTGTTAGACTTCAAAGTTTCTAAAGCTTTTTTGTGTACCACTAAACAGAGAACTTTAACTTTTTTGTGAAACTGATGTACGTCATAAAATATTTGCAGTTGTTAAATAAACAAACGTGGTAACAGTGACTCTGCAGGTCTCCTTAAGCGGTGCGTTAGGTATTCCCATTTAGGCTTTCCTTTACTCCCTGTAAGCAGTGCTGGTTTTGCTGATGGCTGTTCGTGGCTGTAGGCTCCTGTCACTCTTTAAAATGTTTTAAAAGACTTGGATTTGCTGCCTAATGGTCTTTCGTTGTCCAACTTGTTAAAAACCTGTTGATAGCGTACTGTTTTTAATTGCGTAGGTTCGGTACTGCCCTTAAAAGCCTCCCCACGGAAAGCTCCTGAAAGGATGCGTTCCCGTTCCTAGGTGGTAACTGAAGCTTGGTCCCTTTTCTATAGCCAAAATGTTACGTGTAGTTCCCAGCGCTATCTCTGTTGACAGAGTTCTGCACCTAATCTTTGAAACGTAATTTTAATGTGATTTGACCCCCTTCTACCAATTGTTTACCAGAGCAGGTTTTTGGATGCTGCTTGTACTGATTCTTCTCTTGGGTGAGCTGAAGTAAGAAAGAAAAACGGTCAGGAAAAGATGGAGCGGCAGCGGGACGCAGTTACTAAATAGTAGCTCGTGTCCTGGCTGTGCGGTCTTCCACCTATTGCCTGTTCCAGTCTAATCTGGTTAGAAGCAAATCCACAAGGAAACACAGTTTAACTGGAGGCTTCAGCTTAAACAGAAACAAACAACTGTGGCTGC